TTTTTTTTTTTTTTTTTTTTGGTTTTGGTTTAACTTCTCTTTCTCTCCACATAAAGCTGTTATTTGAAATTTTTAAAACAATCGATTCCCTTATTCTAGGACAATTTTTCCGTTTCTAAATTCATATACGCTTATCAACGACACAAACACCTCCTGCGCTCCTCACTCCCTGAAACGAGGGCTATTTTCACTGCGGGTCCAGCGCCACCTAGGCTGTACTTGCTACTCCGCGCAGGTCGCCGCTTGTTTTTCCTGCGAGTGCGCGAGAACCTTCCAGAAGGGTTCGGTCACACAGGAGCGTCGGCCATGTTGGTTTTCCTCGCCCGTGGAGCTCTATTCTGTCCGCCTATGAACGCGGAGACGCCGGGCCGGGGGCGGGGGCCGGCCGCGTTCGGCTCCGAGGAGGGTTTAGGTTTCCCAGGAGGATGCGCTCTAAGGGCTCTAACCGCCCGAGAGGCGAGCGCCTCCCCTGAGGCGGCTCCCCCCGCGGGGCGCGCTCCTCCGAACGGCGGGGTGACAGGAAACGACGGCCGACTCCACATCCTGCCGAGAGACGGGCGCGGGGCGGGCGTGCGGAGGGAGGTCGGAAACCTGTACTTACCAGTGCGAGGCGCTGCCCGACTTTTCCTCGGCGGCTTTCAAGAAGACTCCCTGTAGGTTATTGGACATTTTAGCGGGGTGGGAGGGGCCAGCACATCCAACAAAGTGGGCAGTGGGGGACCGGGGTCCTCCAGGGGGCGAGAATCGGCAAAAAAAAAAAAAAANAAAAAAAAAAAAAAGGTTGGGGGGCAGCCGCCCCGCAGGAACTCTGACGGGGGTGCGAAGCTGAAAAGAGGGCGATGACGAGTTTCTCCAGAGGGCGTAGCTCCGAGCCTCGGAGGGAGGCGGCGCAGCCACCGGAAACGGAAGAATGGGACGCGGCCGCCGGCGCCCGGCCGGCCCAGGGCTTGGAGAGAATCAGCCCGAGTCTCCGCCCCCCAAGGCTCACCGCTTCGCTCCAGAGCCCGGCGGAGTCGGCGCAGGAGGCGTGGCCTTAGTGGCACCGCCCCCAGCGGGGCCGGGTCCTCGGTGAAGACCGCGCCCACTGAGGCCGCCAGCCGAAGCGAAGCTCAGCCGGCGGCCTCCGGGATCGTCACTTCCGGTGGTCAAAGTGATTGGCTCGCTAAAGCCCCGCCTTTACAACGCGATCCAATCGCAAGTGCTGCTTGCTATCTCTTCTTCCGGATCAAGGAATGAATCGCCACAGAGATTTCTCCAATTACCTACGCAAAATAAAATGTTTCCGGGGTCAGTTGTAAATTTTCTGCCTCGCTCTTCGCCGTGAGTGTCCTGTTTCCTCGCCGGCCAGACTTCCGAGGGCTCTTGGAAACGCCGTGCGCTCGCGGCGTGAGAGAACTGTAGACGCCCGACTGCAGCCGGCGGCGTGTTATTGCTCATTTCTGAGGCTTTCTCGGTTATTTCCTCATATGAAGCTTTGCTTCTAGACTTAACCTCTTTCTTCACCCCGCGCTCATGCCTTGGTCAAAATAATTATTTTTGTCATATAGTTAATTGTCTAAAAGTTTCAATTCCCATTAGATTTTTTCTTTCTTTTTTTGCATCTTTATTTGGATCTCTAGAGAAAAGCTTTTCAGAAGCCTCTTGATTCCTGCCAATCGCTTATCCAAGAAACGGACTCAGTCTCGGGTTTAAGGGGTAGACGTTGTCGTGCCGCTGGGGCTGGAAGGAAGTTGTGGGACGAGTGGTTTAAAGAAATCGTTCTCTTAGGTACAGACTGTAAACTGACTCACTGCTTCAATTTAGGAGACTGACATAAGGTGGCCAGTTCTAACGTTTCTGTCGATCTTTTAAAAACGTTGGTTACTCATTACCCTGACTCCTTCATGAGCTGATCCTGATGAAAGAACTTTGTGTCCTGATACATTAACGGAAAGTAATACTTTCTAACTAGCCTTCACTCCCTGTTAAAGGATCGCTTCAGCGATACAGAGCCCCGGCTGTGTCACTGGCATTTATCTTTCAGTCCAGTATCTACTGAACTGAAGGGGGGGTGGGGGTGAGCCCTTAATTCTGCCTTGGTTTTGCTCACAATCCTACCTGTGAGAGAAAAATGAAAAGTGACCCATTTGTGCCTGGCTGGTGTGGCTCAGTGGGTGAGCTTCGACCTCGGAACCGAGAGGTGATGGTTCGATTCCCCTCAGGGCACCTGCCCAGGTTTTGGGCTCCATCCCCAGTGGGGGGGGGGGGCA